CTACGCTGGTTAGCACTACAGATGAAAGGGTCTTGGGGGTCATGATTGACCACAAACTGAATGTGAGCCTTCTATGTGATGCTGTGGCTAGTAAAATGAGCAAAACACTGGCTTGTATCCATAGATGCTTCTCAACCAAATCCCAGGGCGTCATTCTCCTGTTGTACTCACTATTGGTGAAGCTGCACCTGGAGTACTGCATCCAGTTTTGGGCGATCTAGTGGCCACCTGTAAGTTTATCAGGGGTGACCACCAGGATCTAGGGGAGCGATTGTTCACCAGAGCGCCCCAAGGGATGACAAAATCAAACAGTCACAAACTCCACTGAGACTGTTTCTGGCTGGACATAAGGAAGAACTTCTTCACTGTCCAAGCCCCTAAGGTTTGGAATAGACTGCCGCCGGAGGTGGTTCAAGCACCCACTTTGAACACCTTCAAGACGCATTTAGATATTTATCTTGCTGGGTGTCTATGAAATCTATAATACATTACATCCCATCAAGTAATGAAGTCCTCCATGGGTACCCTCACCATGCACAAGTCTAACTGGTGTAAGGAAATGGTAGATCAAGTGCACAAGTTGAAAGGGAGCAAGGCAAAAGATACAGGACAGAGAAGGAGAGGAAAGAAACCATGATGAAAGGATACCAATGGTGAGGAAAGGGGTGGGGTGGGGTGGGGTGGGGCAAGAAAGGAGGCAAAATGTATGTCAATACTGCTTTCAAAAGTTATGACTACAGCTTACATGGACATACCCAAGCTAGCTTAGGCAATGAATGACAGTTTTAGCTAAAATTAAATGTAGGCTAGTTAGTATGGAGCTTGGTGTGGGCTAGCCGCTGAAGCATTTACCCAGGTTCTCAGGTGAGCTATGCATCCCATACTGACCTCTAGGCTGCTGCAGCTATGCTGATTTAAGCCCAGTTTAGGGAGGTATGAATGAGTTAGTCTGTCACACATTTGCTGCTTCTGAATGAGAGGAGAAAGAAACAGGCCTGAGAAGAAACCCTAAGGCACAGAACAATAAGGAATGGCATTTTGTTTTGTTTCCCTTGTCATGGCCAAACACTTATGCACACCCTGCCTTAAACACCATTAATATATTACCAAGAGGAATCTTCTCATTGCATAAATATCTTGTTTTTCATACCTAGTGAACCTGGAAAACCAGTTTTGTTTTGAATAGAAATAATATTTCAAATTAAGAAATGATTGTAAGTGTATTTGCAAAAGCTAAATTTTTCAGATTTTTTTTTTGTACACACACATTCATTTCCAAAGCTATCATAGTATTGAACAATTTAGACCCTACTGAAATCTCAGATTATGCAAGTCTTTTGGAGTCTTTGAAACTTGAATACTTCTGTTTCACTGTTTTCACGTTTGAAGAAACAGCAGGTGTGTTTTGAAAATCTAGTTACTTGTGTTTAAAACTTGGAAAAAGTCAGATAATGGGTGATATTTCACTGCGCAGCACTTTTCTAGGTTTCTTATTTTTTAATGAATGTTTCACTATTTTATGAATTTCATTTTGATTTTTATTGCTTATTTTATTTTATGAAAATTCATTCATAAGGAATGAATTAAAATGGAAAATGTGAAGCCTTAGTGTCCAACACAACTCCCATTCGAATCAATGGACAACATCCCACTAATTTCAATGAGAGTCACTCAGATGGGATTTTTTCTTTCAGATTTTAATAGAATCTGATTTCCTCTGTTACATTTTTACCAACTTGCATAGACATGTTGGTTAAGATGACAAACAAACGTCATCTGGCTTTGTGGCTGCACCTTAATCTCATGAGAATGTGTACATGCACACACACACACACACACACACACACACACAGATGCATATGTATATGTTTATGTTTATACATTTATGTTTCCTTTAGATCTTTCAGAAGGATTCATCACTGAATAAAATGTCAACATTCAGCATTCGAAAATCATCTAATCAAACTGGTAATGCTGCTGCTGTTTTATTTTCCTACTTCCAAAGCATTTAGACTATTGCAGAAACAAAGTTCTTCTCAGTGCATTTATGCAGTATATGATTGATTCAAGTGCTAGTTAGCCTTGCTTATTCTCATTTAAACAGGGTCCCTTCCTCCCTATGTCCATATTCTAAGAAGGGCAGACTAATTATTTGAACGGGCAATGCAAATGAGGATCCACTTGGGAGGCAGAAGCTGCAGAACTGTTTGATTTTTATCAGCACTCTTTCTGGCTGAAGGGCTGTGTATGCCAGCACCACAGAAGGAAGGTGGTTATGGGGAGAGAGAAACAGCAGGGTCAGAGATGCTTCCTACTTGCTGGTGCCTGTGGTTACTATGGAGACTAAGGAGCAACCCAGTGAGGGACATGTTGAACAGCTGCTTAAGGAAGCAAAAGGTTAGGCAATGGGCAAAGGATGTTTTGCTGAGAGAGAGAAGAAAGGGCTGCTCCTTGGAACTTCACAGCTAAGTACAGACAGTCAAAAAGCCTGAGGCTAAATTGATTTGATATTTGCAGGTTTTCTTAAACTGCATAGATAAGGCTGGGGAAAATATGGCCCATGGGCCAGATCCAGCCTATGGAGGACTCTGTCCAGCCCCTGGTGGGTGCCTTGGTCCCACTTGGCCCAGGTGCTATCTTGGCACTCCCTGAGCATGCCATGTGGCTGGGGCAGCTCTGCAGCAACACTACCTTTCTAGGCAGCCCAGGTGGCAGCAACTCCTTCTGGCTGCCACAACTGCTGGCCCCAGCCCCGCGGTGCTGGTGGGGACCTATGCGCATAGCCACACCCACAGCCTGCCCCATGCCCGCTCTGGACTTACCCACCCATACTGAGCATCAGCAGCAATGGCAGCAGTTAGGTAGAAACTGCAGCTCAGCACAGGGGAAAAGCAGCCCCTTCTCCTTGCCGCTGCTGGGCCCTTCTTGCTGTAGCTGCCCGGAGCCCTGCCTGGGCTGCCCTATGGCTCCTTTGTGCTGCCACTGCTGCTCCGCTGGGTGGCCCAGAGGCATCAGTGTTGGTGACAGAGAGGAGCTGCAGGGCAGCCTGGGTGCAGGCTCCAGGTGGCTGCTGCAAGAAGGGCCTGGCAGCGGTGGGGGGGCACTGCTGCTCAGCATGGGTGGATGGTCCAGAGTGGGCATGGGGTGGGCTCCATGCATAGGTCCTGGCTGGTTTGCTCTGGTTGGGTTGAGTCTGGAGCAGACATGGAGTGGGGTCAGGGCTGGGGGCTGTGAGCTGTTGGCAGTGGTGGGGAGGAGTTGCAGAGTGCATGAGCTCTGGGCTATTGCAGGGTGGGGGGTGTGCATGTGTGTGTGTGGCTCCCACACCCACCCCACCATATGCACACCCCCTC